TATATATATATATATATAAAAACTTGAATATTGAACTCGAATGTATGAATGAAATATAAATAGATTTTTATTACAGCTACAAAAATTGTTCAGTCAAGGTTTTCGGTCACAATCTCTATGATTCTTTTGAAAAGTAGATTGTGGATGTCTTCAAGATCGATCATGATACAAATTTGTCAGGTCGCACACCCTTGCTTGCGTTCATTCTTTTTAAGAACAAGCTAACACCACAAGTTACAATACAAATATTTGTCAAGATGTTCAAGCTCTTAAGCGTTTATTTTGGTTTAATATTGGTGAAGTGCTTTAAACCTCTGTCCACAAAAATGTTGTCAGTTTTGCAGTTTTCCAGCTATGAAAACACGGTATTGTGATATGAGCTGCACACGTATAAATGAACACAGTGCCACTCTTCACTCAGAAACCTTCACTTCAAATAAATATAAGATATAGCTGTTTCAGCTTAATTATTTTTGTGCAACCCCATTTGTTTATTTTTAATGTTACATTCGATTAATATTAGCATTCAACTCATGAACCCCTGTTTGGGAAACCCTGTGTTAGTACATTCTTCTTTCAGATCTTTCTCCTCCAGGCATTTTTCTGTTCCTGGAGCTTCGTCATATTGCTAACAAACCTGTGACGGCCTGTCTTGTGTTTCACAATTGTGTAATTGATAAAGAGTTATTGTACTTTAAATAGTGTTTATAAACTGCATGCTGCCTGTTTCTGTCTGTCACTCTTAGTATCTGACTGAATAATGCGACGATTGACAGATTTTGCCATGCTTGCGCAATAACAGCTTTAATGACTTGCGCAAAAGTGATTTCTTATTTCTTAATGACATAACTTCCCCCACCTCCTGCTACACAGTGAATAAGATGGTCAGGAACCTGTAATGTCATAATCCGATTAATGATTAACAGTTTTCTTGACATGCCTAGATAAACACCTTTATGGCATATACTCAGACGTCCTGCTGTGATGGCTGACTGCCTAATAAACAACAATCTATATAGTACATAAATTGCTATATTGCACTTGTGAGATGACTGATGTGATCGTTGAAAGGAGTGCCACGAGCATGAGAGAATGTAGGAGTAAGTGTAATGCGGTTTGTTCTTTCCGAGGAAGCGGCACGCGTGGATGTGTAGATGAACGTGACAGATATTTCCTTTTTAGGTGGGAGTCTTAGATTCTGTTTCCCCTTATGTTCTGGCTTCACCAAGAGTTTCCCCTCAGGTGAAGGGGTTTCAGATGAGTGCACTGACATTGAGCAAACTTTGTTGTGGTGAGGAAGCGTAATGGCTGGTTGCTTGACTGGACAAGGTGACGGGTTCGTTCTTGGTTAGTGTTATTCAGTCACTACCTTTTCCCGTTAACATTTGTTGTAGTGAATAAGTCTAGTCATCTGTGTGGGTTAATTTTTTGAAGTAAACGAAACTAATAGCTCATGATGTGTCTAGATGGTAATCAGTTTCTGGTAAATAAGCACAAGTTTACTTTGTGGACTGGGAAGGTGTTGCTGAAGAGTTGAGAGAGAATTGCTTGTGACACTATGCTGTCTATCGGTGTAATCGATATGGAAATGGGGATAATTCTGCTGCC